TTATGTATGCTGTATCTGTACTGTATCTATACTGTAGACTATACTTATGTTTGCTGTATCTGTACTGTACAATATACTTGTATATGCTGTATATGTACTGTAGACTTTACTTGTATATGCTGTATTTATACTGTAAACTTTACTTGTATATGCTGTATCTATACTGTATACTATACTTATGTTTGCTGTATCTGTACTATACTAATGTGTGCTGTATCTGTACTGTAGACTGTTGGAGGATGGTGTTTACAGTGATGTGACATTCTATGTACATGATAAGATGTTCCAAGTCCACCGCTGTATACTGGCAGCTAGATGTGAATACTTCGCCACCATGTTCAAAACTAGATGGCTGGGTCGGCGTGTCATCACACTTAAACATGCTCTGGTAAGGCCTACCCCATCAATATACTGACTTTACGTACACAGATATTTGGTAAGGAGATTTAATTATATATTAAAAAATCTGACAAATATTCATCCAAAATGATTTTAAGGAATGTTAATTTGTTCATTTCCTGATTTCAAATCCTCACATATATAAGTCATTTGAACAACATTTGTGATATTAAAAACTAGACATATTTGCACTTTTACAATAAATCATAGCATAAGTATACAGAATAATTCATAGTATACTTGTGTAATTATGTATTCTATTTTGAGGTGGAAGGTGATTTTATACAGTTATTTACATCTGTTTGGATTATTACAGTCAATGAGGACCTGAGACCAGCTACTGGGTCAATACAGGAGTATTTGACTGTATTATTATACTGACAAAATTCAGACATACCTTTTACCAATACTCTTTAAACTATTAAATGTTTCTTGAGCAGTTTTACTATTAAATGTTTCTTGAGCAGTTTTTGATTGCAATGCTGTCAATGAAAATAGTGAGCCATGTTTTTGATTTTGGGGCCAACATCTTAGTCATAGGCATTTTTGACCGCAGACTATTGACTCTCCAACTTACTACATTTCAAGTCAGACACCAGAATATAAGGTTGAGTCACGTGGTTGAGTTTTGTCAGTCAGAACATTAGTTTAGTTTTAATAAACGTGTTCAACATACACATCTCTGTCAACTTATAGGTTGTACCTGTTGCCTTCAAGTCAATCCTACAATACCTATACACAGGTAAGTCCCTTTATAAGTAGTACCAGAAGCATTTTTAGCTCACCTGGCCCTTCGCTGCGAGGTCCATTGTCCGTCCGTCAATTTTTTCTTTTGAACAACTTCTTCTGAAGAAATGTAGGACCTAGGGTCATGATATTTGGCCAGTAGGTACCTGGGAAGGAGCGCTATAAAGCATTCTCATTAAAATGACCTTGACCTACTTTCAAGGTCACAGCGGTCAAAAATGTGAAAAATTATAAACAACAATATCCTAAGAACCATTTGAACTAGAGTCATGATACCTGGGTATGTTATGTAAACCAGCAGTGCGAATATTCTTCTCGATTACAGTGATGAGTTCAAAGGTCAACTTTAAATGCTAGTCGGGGGTCAAATGTCAACTTTGGTTAAAAGCTTTAACAATCTTCTTCTCAAGTTCCATAAGGCCCAGGGTCATGATATTTGGCCAGTAGATACCTGGGATGTAGTGCTATAAAGTTACCTCATTAAAATGACCTTGACCTACTTTCAAGGTCAAAGCGGTCAAATATGGGAAAATTTCAAACAACAATACCCTAAGAACCATTTGAACTAGAGTCATGATACTTGGGTATGTTATGTAGACCAGCAGTGCGAATATTTTTCTCAATTACAGTGATGAGTTCAAAGGTCAACTTTAAACACTAGTCGGGGGTCAAATGTCAACTTTGGTTAAAACAATCTTCTTCTCATGTTCCATAAGGCCCAGGGTCATGATATTTGGCCAGTAGGTACCTGGGATGAAGTGCTATAAAGTTTCGTCATTAAAATGACCTTGACCTACTTTCAAGGTCACAGGGGTCAAATATGTTAAAAATTTCAAACAACAGTATCCTATAAGAACCATTTGAACTAGAGTCATGATACTTGGGTATGTTATGTAGACCAGCAGTGCGAATATTTTTTTCAATTACAGTTATGAGGTCACAAGCTGCCAATAGGTACCTGGGATGAAGTGCTATAAAGTTTCCTCAATAAAATTACCTTGACCTACTTTCAAGGTCACAGGGATCAAATATGTTAAAAACTTCAAACAGCAATATCCTAAGAACCATGCATTTGGACTAGAGTCATGATGCTTGGGTATGTTATGTAGACCAGCTGTATGAATTGTTTTCTTTATTACAGTAATGAGGTCAAAGGTCAACTTTAAGTGCAAGTCGGGAGTCAAAGGTCAATATGGGTTAAAGCTTTAAAATTAAAATTTCAAGTTTCAAACAACAATATCTTCAGAACCGTTTAAGAGATGTTAAAATGTCTTGTGTTCTAGTTACCAAATTTGGTCTAATAAATATAATGACCCATTAAGTATTTTCATGATGATTGACAATGTCATGCCTGATGTCATGAAAAAATCTGTTTCCTGACATAAAATGAATGCTGGGATATATTATCCTGTCTGTAATAGTCTTCTTAAACAAAACTGTTTGTTTAATCTTTAGTAGAGTAAATGGAGTGTAAGGCTTACTAATATGATAATATTCAGGTTGGCCATTGCTTTAACTATGCCTCAATGCGACAGACATTTCTCAGTTATTTACATGGTGATGGAACAATTATGACCATGCATCCACAGAGATCTAATGTTGGAGATTTTAATCCTCACTTAACTTTTCACATGAGCAGCTCTTTTGAATTTAATTGAAAAAAGATAATTATAATTATTATGACACAGACAGAATCCCAATAACAATTGTGTTATAATTTGTTGCTGTTATGCCAATATAGTTGCCTAGGTTAAATAAATATCTAACTTTCCTTTGTGTTGTGCGATATGCATTCAACCCTGGTAAATATTTTAGCATAGAAGCTGCAAAATGCAACACTCTCATGTAAGATAGGTTTTATCAGCTAAAGATGGTAATTCATAATACAACACTCTCATGTCAGATAGGTTTTATCAGCTCAAGATAGTAATTCATAATATAACACTCTCATGTAAGATAGGTTTTATCAGCTCAAGATGGTAATTCATAATACAACATTCTCGTGTAAATATCAGATAGGTTTTATCAGCTCAAGATGGTAATTCATAATGCAACATGGCTACTTTTTAATATTTCATGGTTCAGTTGAATTACATTGTGTATTGAGGAGACATTGTATTTCTTTTGTAAGGCTTGTGTATTGAGGAGACATTGTATTTCTATTGTCAGGCATGTGTATTGAGGAGACATTGTATTTCTATTATCAGGCTTGTGTATTGAGGAGACATTGTATTTCTATTGTCAGGCTGCCTCGACACTCATATTGACAATATAAAAGACTGTTTGAGATTGGCCAAGCAGTGTCGTCTGCAAAGTCTGATGGATGAGATTGATGACCACTACAAAAGATTCCGCACCTTTGGTAGGTTCCTAGACCTATATCTGTTACATTATTGAATCTGATAATGCATATTATTTTCTGTAAGAGAGTTTTGGTATCACAAACCTGATAGTGGAATAAAGTGATTCACAAATAGATTAAATAAAACTCAAACAATGTATGCATAAACATGTGAGAATTAAATGCTTTATGACTGAGTGAGTGAATTGCTTTTTCTACCAGGTACAACAACGTGACAAAGTTGTAAATGTATTTTTATCTATTGGAGACCAAATGGGCCTGAGATGTTGTGACTTGTTATACGCCCGTCGAAATTTGACGGGGGTATTATGGAATAGCGTCTGCGTCCGTCCGTCCGTCCGTCCGGTTAAAGTTTTGGTTTAAGTTTCAGTGGTCTACTGTTCAGTCAGATCATGTGTTATTGTCCTAATTTTTGACATGGATGTTCATGTGGGATTTAATTTGGGAAAATAGTTTCTATTTTTGGAAATTTTGGACGTGTTTGGGACTTTTACTCGCACAATTTCTCAGTTAAAGTTTGGGTATATATTTCTTATGTGGTGTACAGTTCAATCAGATCATGTGTTATTGTCCTAATTTTTGGCATGGATGTTCATGTGGGGTCTAACAAGGACAATATGGATTTAATTTGGGAAAATAATTCCTATTTTTGTAAATTTTGGACTTTAGCACCAAAAGCATCAGTGCAAGCATTTTTATCACATAGACATGACACTGGCTACCAGGTACTTTAAATATCAAACAAACAAAAAATCATTGGATAGGGTCAGACGGGCATATTATGCATCTGCTTTTGGTGCTCTTGTTTATATGTACATTGTTTGTGAATATAGTAAAACTTTGATAATCTCATGTTCATAGTTAACAATAATATGTGTTACCTGTTATCAGGATCTATTGGTTTCTTTCTCCAGAAATGGCAAAGCCTGGTATTACCGTGACAACACTAACCATTGAGCCAAACCTACATAACACAAAGCTGCAAGAAGACCTGGGCAAGCTTGGTGACCTAGCCCTGCCAGACGAGCTCTGTAGTGAAGTAAGGTCATCTAAATGTTATGGCAAGGGTCAGATAAGTGACCTATTGATAGAAAGCAAAGGAACTTTTTACTGATATACATTGTATAAAATCTATTTGGGAATGGAGGGGAAGCTACAAAGAAAAGTATGTTGTCTCGTTACTTGTAGGCGGAGGGGGAGGGGTGTTTTCCTTTTTCCATCTGAAGATTTGTATATCTACCATATCTACTAGGTAAGGATTGAGGTAGGAAACTTGGGGACCTAGTTCTGCAGGAGGTTAATGTCACCTGAAGACTTAGGAAAGACTTAGTGACCCAATCAAAAAGGAGGATCCGTCACCAGGCATCTGTGGTGTTCTGGAGGATGTTAGAATCAAGCAGAGGAGAATTCTATAAGCAAGACTAGCCACTAATAGGAGCTTTATAAAGATATACAGAGTACACCATCAAAGTACTTTTAAACACTTAGAGGTGATGGTTCTAATTTATCTTACCAGGATAGTTTATTTCTGTAGCGATGCAGAGGTCATCAAAATAATTAGATACTGCAATAATAAAATAACAGTGACGTTAAGATTACCATAAAGATAAAGGTTACCATAAAAATAAGGTAACCACAAAAATAAGATTACCACAAAATATGATTACCACAAAAATAGTGTGATTACCGCAAAAATATGATTACTACACAAATATGATTACCACAAAAATATGATTACCACATAAATATGATTACCGCAAAAGTATGATTACCACAAAAATATGGAAAAGGGGGTTAGCCACCTCTTTAGTTCATTGTATGTTACCTCGAGTGTAGGCCCATTATTTATGAAACCATTTTTGTGCTCAAAATGTCTCTCTTGTAACTGTCTTAAAGTATGTGACAGAGTCAAAAAAGTTAAGTGTAATCAAATAAAGTGGTATAAGGCTTTAAGTATGTCCAATATTCTTCCAAATCATTGACAAAATGGGCTTGTTTATCAATTTGTCAACAAAACAAAATATTGGGCATGAGCACAGAATGTAAGTTTGGGCATGGGAACAGTTTCATTAACACATGACCTAGTCTTGAAAGAAAGATTTCTGGTGATGAAGGTCTATGAGATGGGGAGAGAGATTAAGCCATCTCAGTAGTTTGTGGCCTAGTCTTAGAGGAGAGATGTGATGTAGGTCGGAGTGGGAAATTAAGTCACATTAAAAGACTCTGTTGTAGAAACTTAATCTTGTATAAAATCTGTATTTTATAGTTAATTCTTATATCAATTGATACATTAGTGATTTGTCACTTTCATATATACAGTATCAATTTTAATTTGACATTCTATTTGTCATTAATGAATTATTGAAATAATTCCAGATTTTTTGGATGATAATAACTCCAAGACAACAACTGAATGAATAGTTTGTTTATCTTATTACCTGACATGATGTTTTATGCAGATTTTCCAGGCATTAGGTAGCCTGCCGTTTGCGGGGTTACAGGATTTACCTATCTACCCTGACATCTGTTTCATAGTGGAGGAACACAAATTTCTGTGTCACAAGGTATGATGCACAGCTTGTAGTAGATTGCCGGCTACAAAATTTAAAATAATTATCACAAATTCAATAAACCAGACTAATATTGTCTGGAGAGTATGTATACAATGGTACCTGTAGTGTAAAGGTCTGGTTTATACCTATGTGTGTCTGTGTTATAATGGTACCTGTAGTGTAAAGGTCTGGTTTATACCTACATGTGTCTGTGTTACAATGGGACCTATAATGGAGGTTCTTATTTATAAAAAGTTTCTGGATTGTTCGGGATACAGTATACACAGATTACACTGGTATTAGTGTTATCTGCAATCATGAATTGACAGTTTAAAATTTGTCTTTACTTTTCTGTTCATATTATATTTGAAAACGCTTGCCTAGGATTCACAAAAAAGTCTTTTGAAAAATATTATCAAATTTCAAATTCAGATTTAGGTTAAGGAGCTATAATCAATGTCAAATGAACTATTTTTAGGTCATATTCAATATTCATCTTTTAATATTAGATAAAAAGTTTTCAAAGAACATTTAAGAGGAATATTGAAATTCAAGAATGTTCCCTCTAGAGTTACGAATTTGTGATACTAGGTGCCTGATAACTTGAAATGATACTTGAAGAAAAGAGTTGTATTATTTTTTTCTTACCTCACCAGGTGTTTTTCTGTGGAAGGAGTGACTATTTTAAGGCCTTGCTGATTGATCATTTTGGAGAATCCTACATATCAGAGGATAATCTGCCTATGGTTCCCATCAACGAAATAAGCGCAGAAAGCTTCAGGAAACTGATGTATTACTTATATCAAGACAGCTGCGAGGTAGGTGGATGTTATGACTGTAATGTGCATTACTAGTCAAGGTCACGACAGCTGTATAAAATATAAACTTTATTTATTTTACAACAATTATGAAACAAGTTATTGCAACTTATATTAATCACTCTTGTTGGCCCGGGTGTTAGCGTTGGGGGGGTCTTAATGTGGGAGGAAACCGGAGTACCCAGAGAAAACCCACGTTGTCGGGCAGGTGACCCCATACCTTTTTCACGTCCGATAGGGGAATCAAACCCTGGTCGATTTGGTGAAAGGCGAGTGCGTTATCTATTGTGCCACCCGACCACCCAAAAACCTGTCTTTGACACTCATGATTCTCACGACAGCCATGATGTAGGTCAAGTCATAAATGCTGTGAGGTAGGTCAAGGACGTGACCTGAAAGTTAATAAAGGTCAAGACTAGTGTGAAGTAAGTAGATCTTGACACATTTTGTAGGTAAAGGTCACGACAATTATGAGGCCAGGCAAGGTCTTGACAGCTGTGTAGATCAACGTCAAAGACAGGTTTAGGAAGGTTAGTCACGGTCAGATATTCAGAAAAAGTATGGAAGTGGGTAGGAACAACTGAGATATGGGTTGATACCTGGTGAAGTGTACATCTACACGCTCAGTACAAAAGTAATCTGCAACAGCATGTATCTAAATGTCTCTTCAATGTATTTTGTACATTTGCACTATTAATATTAATTAGATATCACTTGGTAAAAGTTGAATTTTCTTTCCAGTTGACCAAAGAAACAGTGGTAGAGATGCTGAAACTTGCGGACCAGTACCTGTTACAAGGGCTGAAGAGACTGTGTGCAAGCAACATTAGCAAGTACATTGACATTGATACAGTCCTACAGATACTGATCTTGGCCAGACTGTTTGGCCTTCGTAGACTCGCTGATCAGTGCTCGGAGTTCATGGCCAACAATTTACACGAGGTAAATGTAAACCTAACTCCACTACCCCTTACTTGCTGACCAGTGCCCATGTCTAAAAAAAGTTACTGGTAGATGAGGTTTACGTAGAAGTTAATACATGTAACTGTATAAGTCACTTCACAGTATCATTATATATATTGATTTTATTTACAGTTTCAACTGTAATTCACTCAATAAACCTTGTTAGACATGTTAATTATTGGTCGTTAACACTAACTGATCTCACACCATGCGTAGTGACACATACAGTCATGTTGGGGATTCCACAATGCTATTTTCAGATTTACTCACTGAAAGGGTTGCCCTGACGAAGTGTGCAGTATTGTAGATACAAGATTATACAACGTAGTTGTAAACTAATGCAAAACTTGTGAACGAACACCAATTTAAAATTTCATTATTTTTCATTGTTATAATTGTACCCCACATTACACAGCTACAGCCATTAAAAGCTAAGTCAGGCTGGCTACAAAACTTGACCAATCCTGTCTTCATGAGTGGACAGAGAAATGAATCCTCGGTAAGGATGTTTTTCGGAGACTGTTCATCAATCAGTTATTAATTAGCTCCACACTTTCCTCTGTAGAGAATGCAAACGTGATACATGATACAAGCAATATTGCGTTTCAATATCATCAATCACCGAGTCTTGCATAACCCTATTACATTCCTTGAATCTTTGTACAGAATTGAGTTTGTTAGAAAAATCAATTTTAAAGCATAAGGTTGAATGAAAATCAGTTCATACTGACCATAAGTTTTCCAGAAACCACATTTTTAAATGCAAAACTGCTTTTGAAAGAACAAAGTTTGTGAAAGATTGAAAAAGGTAGTTTGTTCAAAAGCTATGGTATCGTAGACAATGAAAATATAGGCTGTTCGAAGAATGTAGTTTTCTGGTTGGCAAAATAGATTTTTGCGAACCCTTTTACCTCTCTAGACAATAATGAACCTATTCATATGCATGGTAGAGTTTGTTAAAGTTACATAGGGATGCAACTTTTGAGTCTCTTAAACTAAATAACTCTGAACTTTGTAAAGACATTTTGATGTTAATCCCTAAAACTATTTCCCTGTAAAAACAAATGCTGAATTTCAAAAATATGTACACATTGTATATCAATAACCACAATTACATAAGTCAAAACGTGCAGATTCTTTATTTTACTGAAGATACTTATTTTGAAAAAAGCTCTAGGAAATTTACTGAAAATGTAATCAAATTGTGATGGAGTGTTTCTGATATGGCCAGGAATGGAATGAAATGTCCTATGCTAAAATGAGAGTTTCGAATAATTATTACTCATTAGATTTGGCCAAATGGTAAATATTCTATTTGATTGTGCTCTGAAGAGGCTTAACCCTTTCACCACTGTAGACCATAATGGAATCATCCATATCAATGCATGGAAGAGTCTACTGAAGTTACATATGGGTGAAAGGGTTAATCTAGCGAGACAGGGTGCTGTATCATATGTCTTACAATACGAATTAATTCTGATGACAGGTCTTAAGACTGGCTGATTTTGTCGACATCGTGAGACAGGACGCTGCCAATCTCAAACAACGAGAGGATACCGATACTGTTGAGATCATCGATGACATTCGTTTCAACATCACTAACTTCGTACAGACATTCAGTGACATGATGGACGCCGACGAGAAACTACGAATGATAGACGACTTCTTAGAGGAACTGGACATTGACGCCTAAGGCGTTTTGGAGGAAGTGCGTCTCTTCTGTAATTGGTAGATTAACGGAGGAAGTGCGTCTCTTCTGTAATTGGTAGATTAACGGAGGAAGTGCGTCTCTTCTGTAATTGGTAGATTAACGGAGGAAGTGCGTCTCTTCTGTAATTGGTAGATTAACGGAGGAAGTGCGTCTCTTCTGTAATTGGTAGATTAACGGAGGAAGTGCGTCTCTTCTGTAATTGGTAGATTAACGGAGGAAGTGCGTCTCTTCTGTAATTGGTAGATTAACGGAGGAAGTGCGTCTCTTCTGTAATTGGTAGATTAACGGAGGAAGTGCGTCTCTTCTGTAATTGGTAGATTAACGGAGGAAGTGCGTCTCTTCTGTAATTGGTAGATTAACGGAGGAAGTGCGTCTCTTCTGTAATTGGTAGATTAACGGAGGAAGTGCGTCTCTTCTGTAATTGGTAGATTAACGGAGGAAGTGCGTCTCTTCTGTAATTGGTAGATTAACGGAGGAAGTGCGTCTCTTCTGTAATTGGTAGATTAACCGAAAATTTGCCGTAGCGTGAACTTTTACAGGGAACATAGAAGTTGGGAAATGCTATGTAATACAAAACCACAGTAGGAAATCCATTTGCAAGTGCTAAAGTTTTACAAAGAGAAAATGAAATCATTGTTATTTTTTTTTAATTGAAACTGACTGTTATCACCAATAAAAAGTACAGCAATATCAAAATATTACTATTGAAAATGTGTTATAACCAGGTATGAAATTGTTTATGTTGTCAATTTTTTTTTGTTGTTATTTGTTTACTTTGAAGAAGTATAGAAAAGTGACCCTACCTGCATATTTTACACACGATGGTGTCTGTTTTGGCAGCTATGTCTGTTGTTTTTTTTAAGATTTGGTGTTTTGATTTTTGAGATTGTAAACAAAATATTTTCAACCAATTTTTCCAGTTTTTATTATCCTCACTTACTGGTCACCAAGTGGTCTGAGTAACAAAGCTCACAAGTTTAATAAAAATTGTGTAGGAATATTTTTTATCTGTGACTAGAGACATCAACAATCACAATGTCAAGGAAAATAACGTTTGGGCTAGTTTTTATCAGCGGATGTAAATGAAGAAATAGAAACTCCTCAACAAGTGAGTTTTCTAATTGTATAATATACGTGCCAAGTGACCCGATTTTGTCGGGTTACACCCGGAAATTTAGCCCTTCACCCGCTTTAATAACTTCACATAGCTGGATTATGATTTTGACCCGGATTTCGTCAATTTCACCCGTTTTCGCCCGGAATACTATTAAGACAGAGTTTACCAATTGTCTTTTTACAATTTGAAAATTAACTTGATGAGAGTTAGATATACATGATAACTAGCCATCACAAGTTTGGGCACTTTTTTCTCCCATGATGTTCATATTATAAGTAGAAAACCATATGTTTCTCGTGGAAATGTAGGATTCCTGATTCAGATCAGAGAAACAATTGCAGTGAGTTGTAACATCACTATGGCAACATAATTAAAAAAGCATGAATTTGAATCACAACCAGTTTGTTAGGTAACATAAAATGTTTTAATACAAACTTCTTGCAGGTTTATCCAATATTTCAGTAATAATAGGAGAAAATATGTCTATATTCACTTTAAAGCAGGATTTCTGTATTGTTGCTTTTACAGATGACTTGGTGAGTGTAAATTGTGACCATCAGATACTCCACTCTAGATAAATATTGTCATATGATATATGAATCGAGGGCTTGAGTAAAGAAAGTTCACAGGAATAATGTAATGTGTGTGATTTGCAGATATTAGAAGTGTAAGACTATTTGTTGCGTCACTATTTAGCATACAGTGGCAGACCCAGGCAAGGGTTGCAGGCCATTAAAAAAACCTTCAAACTTGGCAGTTATTTTTGTCAGATTAATTTCAAGATTTACCATACTGAGCCATAGGATTGAAAAAATATTAAACCATTTTGAAAGAAATGATATGACTTTAACAATGAAGTAACTCAACTGACATGATATGGTGTTATGATTTTAGCTACCTTTAATCATCATATTCATTAGAAAATGAAGAAAAATGAATCAAATACACCTTCATTTGTCATAAAATTGTTATACAGAATTATAGAGAAAATTGTTTATAGGAGTAAATTTGAGTGGAGTTTGAACGAACCAAAGGTGAGCATCTGAGTGTATGGGTCCCTGTTTCAAATCCACATCTAGCCGGTTACATGTCCCACCTTGTTTCTCATTCAAAAGTTTTAACTGCCAGTGTTAAATTATTAAGGTTACTTAATATTTAATTGAACAGCTATATATAGCTACAGCTACTACAGGTACCACCAGAGGGTAAATGGTGCCATATCCTAAGTTACTGCCCTGTACAATATCATTTTAGCAAGTACATTTTGTATACCTATTTTCTTAGATATAGTAGTGTAGTCGATTTGATTGAAATCAAAATCAAGTATGGGATGACCTTTGTCTCAGAATGGTCCCCAATTAGTGAAATATATCTGTTAAAAACACTAAAGAGGTGGTTGGGATTTTGTTTTCATTTTTTTTAAGTAAGTGAAATGTTATATCAATTTTCCAGGTGACTGTAATTAAATAGTAACACATCTTATTACAACAGGTTATTGTTAAAGTATACATGAACCTTCACAAAAATGCACGTGTGCATATGAGAAGTTGTTAGATGCCGATCCGTGAAAGCCTGGCTCTCTATCCCCCTAAATGTTATAAGGAAAGAAGTTGTTATTGAAGCTGTTATTAAAAAATCATCAGCTGTAAGGAAATCATTGGGGAGATATGTAGTGAGACGTTTCCAGCAGACTTTGTCTATTCCTTTCCCTATGATACATAAAATTATTGGATTTTATTTGATTGTAGCTGGTCTTCGTATATGTCCTTTGTTACATATGATATCAATTCAGAAATACACTGTAGTAGTTCATACTTTGCCAGAAGACGAAGCATGTATTAAATTCAAAAGATTATTATTGTTGTATTAGAGAAGGGAGGTAACTCAAGAGTGTATACTTTTTTTGTCAACCACAATCTTTAGAATCATACAAGGTGTTATAGTAACCTACAGTACACAAACTGTAGAATTACTAATTTTTATTTTTTTATTTCTTTGACATAAACTTTAGAATCATTCATACAAGGTGTTACTTACAGTACACAAACTGTAGATCAACTTGCACATTTTTATTTAATTTATTTTGACACTAACTTTAGATTTACACATTCAGGTTTTATTTACACAAACTGCCTTGAGATGTATAATTAATACACATGTCAGTGAAATGACGTGGTATCATTCAGTTCAGTTTCTATATTTCCAAGAGCCATACATCCGACTCATAGGTTGATTGATGTCAGGTTGGTTCGTTCTCAGAGCTCATCTGTCTCTAAGTCATCAGTGACATTTTGCCAGCTGTCTGTCTACAGTATATATGACTTGTGTCAAAAGGGCATGAAAATTTTATAAAATACATTGTAGTACATGTACTATTTATTAAGGTATACATTATATAATATCCATACCAATTAACCTTTGCTTGATTTTTTTTTATGTTTGGAGTATGGGACAATTTTATCATCTTTTAGTTATCTAGCTATTTAACATTTTTTGCTTTGAAAAAAACTTTATGTTTTTTGTAAGGTTTTTTTTATCTAGTGTGCTAATCAATTAACAACTTATAACTGTTAATATGCCAGTCAGATATGTATTAATGGTCTGTTTACAGAGAAAGTGCTCTTAATACTCAGATATGTGTTGGAAGATAAGCCACCCAACAGAAAACTCAGAAGTGGTCTGTGTACAGAGAGAGTGCTCTTAATAGACTGTGTACTGTGAACAGCTATTGGAGGATGAAAGAATGGAGGTCTAGATCTAGAGAGAAAGGACTACTGATATGGAGTTTGAAGTATATCATATATACTATATTTATTTACACAGTAAAATGTGATTTAGCAAGAAATGATAAACGAGGTTTGACACTTTCTATTTTTGTTGGGGAGTACAGAGAACTATTTGAATGTTAACTAGTACTTCGCCAATATTACTGCCGTATTTTATCGGTGATAAGCCCAGGGGATCTGGTTATTTCACTGAGATAACACTATAAAGTTGGCATTAGATCCGCGCTATCACAAGGAGGCAATAACTCCAACATACCCTGTCTCAAGCACACATACAGACAAGCATGCATACGCAACATATACACGGAGGCATGTTCTTAAATGATCTTAGCTGTTAATAGGATGTTAAACAAAATAAAACAACTGCTAAAGTAAACATCCTTAGCACTTTAGCATGAAGCAGAAAAGAGGGCTGTAGAATAGATTTCAAAACTTACCAGTGAAGTCCCAGACAATTTTAACAATCAGCACACAACGTTTTGCTACATTTTAAAAGTTTTTGAAAGGAATGTTCTTATTGGTTAGTCTATCAGTCAAGGGATATTCTGATTGGATAACCTGTTAACAACGACAGGAGAACTAGTATTAGTGTCAAACCCTGATATAAGTACTCTGTTCTAATGATTTGTTAAATTTTATTGCGTGTTTTATGTTTCTATTATATACTGTATCTAATAAGTGGTACTTTGTTACAGATGTCAGTGCTGAAATTACGTATACAATTACATGTACAGTAAACCCTTAACATACTGCCACCATTGTACCTAGTAAACCATCATTATACTGCCTTTTTTAGTCCCGTGAAATTTTGGCATTATAAAGGAGTTTGACTATATATCAAGGGATACAATAAACAAAAATCTTAAGGATAAAAAATTGTTTAAGGAAGGACCTTGAGATATGATGGAGGTAAACAAAGGGGAAATGAAACAAGGGACGTTATATCAAGCTTTAACTGATAGCTGTAGACTAGACCAATCACTGTCAGATGTTTTAGGTTTTGCTGATGTGTATTTTCTGATAAGTAAATCTTGTTTTATGAAATTCAATGAAAAAACAAATTCTTGAACTAATCTTAAATGATGTAGTTGTAAAATTGCATATGCAGCAAAAAAAACTACATATTTGTTGTGTATATATGTATATATATATAAACTATACATGGCATGTCACAATATAAGCCAATGAAGGTATAAAATGAGCTAAGGTGTGCAAACTAGTATTTCAAAAGTGAAACTGTTTGGAAAATATTTGAAGAATATTAGCTACACAGATTATATTTATCTTATTTGTTTATGTATATGTTAAGTCAATTTAAAATCTATCTCATATGCTTTACAATAAATGTTATTTCTCAATAGAGGAAAAAGATAAACAACAATTTAATTGTCAGACACCGGACTGATATTTTGGCCTCGTGGCCTTCTTCAAGGGCAAAAAGTCCAGCTGAACCTTCCTAACATCCATCTTTGTTTTGCCTCCTATTCAGGGAAAACAAGATATGGACATTACTAAGAGTTGATGTTTCCTTTCCTGTTTGAAGAAGGCAATGAGGCTGAAATTATTGGGTGCTGTGAACAGCAATTATTTTATTATATCTCATATGTGTTATAAAGCCTTTGTCTTTGTTTCACCTTAAGACTGCTGTGTGCCATATACCTCTGTACTAAATACCGGGTAGTTTTGTTTTGAAGGACTCTGTCATTCAAAATATCAAGGTCAAAGGTGAAATATTGTGCTTGTTGTTATGTGATCCATCTAACTTACTTTATATTTGTTTTGCTTTGTTAGTTGTATGCACCGTATTGGGTCGTATCAACTGTTATGCATGCTTGGTGTGTATTTCTCTTTAATTATCAAACAATGCAGTACAGGTACAAATTTGTACTGTGGAGTGCTGAGCACTTACAATATTAATGTTGAATTAAATTTTTTATATTAAATTTTATTATTGTTCCACTTAAAAATTGTGTTTCTTTATTTGTGTAGTAGCTGAATATACAATTATATAGAGCACTTATTAGTAATAAGAAAGAGTGATTGCAGATTCAATGTGGAAGCTTGATTGTGGATTCATTCACAATGATCAAGCATGCACCTGTACTTCTTTTTCAAGAAAAAACAACTACCTGTACCTGGTGCTACATGTAGGCAACAGCTATCGTGACAATAATGCACAAAAACAACAGGTACATCTTAAATGCCATTTTAACCCTTTCACCCATATATGTAACTTCAGTAGACTCTACCATGCATTGATACCCTTTGATACCCTTTCACCACTGTAGACCATAATGGACTCATCCAGATCATTGTATGGTTGAGTCTACTAAAGTTATCTAGGGGTGAAAGGGTTAAAGAGGAAAATGTACACCACCACGGCACAATATTGACAAATCAAATGTAAAATCTATTTTCTCATCTATGTTTCAAACTTTTATCAACAATAAATTGTAATCTGCCTTTGTTGCCACACCAGCTGGTATACATGAAACTGTCCTCATGCTCAAACTCAGATTCTGTGCCCAAGTCCAATTTCTCGTTCTGGTGAAGAGTTAATAAGAATCCACATTTTCTCAATGATTTGGAAGAATTTCAGCGAGACTAAAAGCCGAAAGCATCATTCAACATTAACACATGACCTTTTGGTCATTAGTCATCCTTTCGGTTATGTCATAATTGATTTAAACGGGTTGCAAGAAAGCTGAATTCATGCTTGAGCATGATCGAGAGACAGTTGAAATAATGAATACTGGCCAGACCAAGTTTTGTAAATTCAGAAATTGTTAAAGAGTGAGCCAGCCTTGTATCACAGATTAAAAAGACATGCTTGAATTGACTCATCTGCAATGCTGTAAAGAAGGCACAGAGGCTGCTCATATATACCAATCAATACCCAGGGCTTTTTCGAATGGCTTTCAAGAACACGATAAATTTCATCATTATAAGCTAATTTTAGCTTATGAAATTATTTATTGTAATGCTTTAATTTTGGGTTCTTCAATGAACTCATTGCATGTTTTCATCATTTAGTTTATATATCTGAAACAGAACAAAACAAATAAAGTCACATTAAGGGAACTTTTGTTTTGTATGAAATATGATTGTTGCATACTATACCATATACTGTAGTATTTAATTTGCAGCATTTTATTATGGGGGTCAGGGGTGGGGGATGATTAAGGTGTCTGATCACCTGATCTATGATCACTAATACATGTAATTATAACTCCACGACTGGGTCACAGGTTTGAGGCCCACAATTTAATTTATTGAGACAGCCTTACCATGTACGTGCTGGTCAAAGGTTGATGGCATTTCTCTGTGTACTCTGGTTTTCTTGCACCTGACTTAAACAGTCCTGCATAGCCCATTCTTAAATGACCATTCATGGCTCTTAATAGGATGCATGTAAAGCACAAACGAAACTAAGCTATATGGGTCGTAAAATTAGAGTTATAGACAGAAATATTGTCACAGCCAGTCGAGAAGTCATGTCTGTTACATAATGCAATAAATTCCATAATTCATTTCAAGATTTGTCAACATTTACCGTTGCTAACGACAGGCCAAATAATAATGTTATCCTTAATGACCATATGTATATGGTTCTAATTAACATTTGTTTGTAATTTCAATAAATTTAAAAATTGGGACATTCTTTCAGTGTAGGTCAACCTGATTTATTTGAATAAACTTGATATTTTTTAGCCATGCAATGCAAGTAACTAATTTATTGGCAAAATAGTATACGTAACTCACACGAGAAGAGGTTTTTTAACAGTTTATAATAAGAACATTTATCTGGTCAAAATAATATTTATTCCTAGCAACATACACCACAAATCTATGGAGGCCTTCAATGACCAAGGTCAAGGTAATCTATCTGAACAAACTAATGATGGCATTATATATCAAGAATAATGTGCATTCAGATTGTGGTTGTTTGAAGTTTTCGGCACACTTGATTCTTTTAAACTTGAACATCAGTAAGTATCTTTACTCAAGACAATCATTCCTACAAGTTGCCATTATAAATTCAATGCATTTTAGGTATTGGAATGTATATTGATTTTAGTACTGCCATCATATGAAAATTTTGACGTGCAACTATACATGATCTTTAATTTAATGTGTGGCAATGTAATTCATTAAAAAAATAACGTTCACCTCAATCAGATATATTTGACTGCTTCTTTAACAACAATATCATTAAAATGATTAATATTGGAATCTTTTCAAGCCACCGCTCAACCATAAAATGTATCGATTGGACCCCGTCGTGGGCCCCACGACCATTTTGGTTCGAAACAGTGGCTCCATGTACCAAGTCGCCTAGCTTTACATAAGAAATGGAAGACGCATGGTAGAATGCGGGAAATCCATGTGAACTTTGTTTTGGTTTTATGTTCCAGCGATTTATGAGAAAAGTAAGTATCTTTTGTGTGAATTAACTTTGCAAGATATATTAAACTCGTGGATAAGTTCAGCGATATAAGCAAATAGTGATGTCGATGAGGCTGATTTCACAACAAAATGAAATGTTTTCTATCGTCAATTTCAACAAAATGAAAAAGTCAGCTGTTTCGAAGGTATGATATGATGCTGACAGTTCAAGAATTATTACGATTTAAAATGGAAAGTATGGCTCACAAGGGCCATATTTTTGGCAAGATATTTATGACTTGAAAAATTTGTACCTTGCAAACTAATATTAACTTTACTTTCGTCTCGATCACTGATCTACCTAAGACTCTGGTCTAGTAACAGTGTCATGGATATTTTGCACACAATTTGATTTCAGAAAACAATTTGAAACAAGATGGCAGCACTAGACTCAATGGCAGAACTCACAGGTTTATTGGAACAATGGGGTAGAGAGCAGACAACAGCAACTAGCCCCATCCATATCCTTGCAAGGTACAATAACCAGAAGAAGAATCGGCCCATTCAGTATAGGCCTACTTGAAAAACATATATAGCTACCAGTCCCATGAATGTCCTCATAGGCCACCAGCCTAATTTAAGTGCCCCCCCCCCCCCCAAATTAAAAAAGAATCCCCATTAATAAGGCATACATATATATAGCATATAATGTTTAAATGTCATCATGCATGGATAACCTTTTTTTTTATTTCTATCTTTTAAATTCATGCCATTGATCATGAGACAATAAAGGTGAGTAAAAATCCAACTTTTGATACAAACAATTATCCCCCTCCCCCCCCAAAAAAACCCACCCCAAATTGTCAATTAGATACTGTTCACACAAAGCACGGTGGGAAATATACAACAACAATTTACTCATCATGTTCTTTGCTATGGTGAGAATGACACATTTACATATGCTCATTCTTGCTTCTAATGATCTGTTTAGAAACCTACTATATATCCTAATGATATTAACGTTAACCCTCTCAGAGGAAGCAAGCTAGTAGTATATGCTAGCTAGCGTGTAACTTACATTTCTAGTAAGTTGATCCAAGCTTTTGACAACAAAAATCACGCTTATTTCATTGTTTATTTGGACTATTTCAGAATCTCTGAGTTGATGGAGAAGGAGACAGAATCCTACTATAAGATGGACCCTGACCCATTTGATGACCGGCACCCAGGTTAACAACAATTAAGATTTCATCAGATTATAATTTTGTCCGTTACATATATGAGTATAGGCATTGTTCTTGTTTATATATTTTGAGGATGAAATATATTGTTTCCATCAGACTTAGACATTTTCATCTGAATTTGAAAAAGTGAAATTCCTTAGCTGAAGAAAATTCATAAATAAAATAAAAGTTTGCTTTGGATTTAGCAGAACACAATTTCATTACAAAATTTTCTTTGTACTAATTTTATTTCAAGGTGGACAACTTTATGATTTATAGCTAGTATTCTTTAAAAATCCAGAAAAATTGGCTTGACGATTGGCTCAGCTTTTAACTTAAGAAAATAGCAGTTTGCAAAGTAATTTGGGGGGGGGGGGCAAATGTCTTTAAGGCAAGATTGTCTCTAAGACAGATTTCAATTGTAATGTAACTTTGGATATCAGAATTAAGACGTGTTTCATAAGTATCTATTTAATGATAGTAGATAAATCAGTTAAGATAGGAAGAGTGAACTATGTTTTATAACATATGACAAAAAATCGACGTAAATTATTTTTAGTACCTTTACTATCGTCAGTAATCTTTGATTTACAGGACGAGCTAATCCCACATGTGCACTGGGACACTTGATGAAAGCCTTATTTAAAAATGAAGACTTTATGAATAAGGTATTGTAACATCCCATTCATTAAACTGTGTCAGTGGACATCAATATCACTGACATCATAACCAAATAATGTAATTCTCATGTGTGTTTTTTTAATACAATTTCACAGTGAAGTTATCCACAAAATGTTACCAAAAAATATGTGCAAACTTGTGCAACAGTTCAGTACTGAATAAGTGATACTGATAAAACAAGTGAAATATATGGAATTTTGCATTAAAAAAGCATTGAGAGGTTCCATTGTGTAAAGATGCATCAAGGGAGGTAATTTGTAAACAGTTTGTAAGGTATACTATGTGTGTGGTGTCCCTATAGCTGGTCAGTCAGTACCTGATGAGCAGTCGTGACCAGCAGTACGATCTACAAGCAGCAGCCTGCCGACTTCTGCTGGCCTTACTCCCAGGACTGGAGCCGTCCATTGTATTTCAGGAAACGGTAAGTGTTCAGGGTCAGTGACCGATGGCTGTTGAAGAAGACAATGATTCTATGAAAATCCTTGTTTCTATAAAATTTTGGAGAGAAGTTATGTCTGAAGTATAGAAGAATCTCCTCATTAATCAGGACTTTATTTGTCCATTACACTATTAACTCATTATAATTACGCTTATCTAGGGTAAACAATTTGCTCAGTGTTGAATTTGTAGTTTCTGAATTGTTTGGTTTTATGTTTTCTAATTCAAAAAGTTGCAGACATTTTGAATTTCTGTATTCACCATTGTGTAAATATGTAGGGAACTGTATAATGATGGAGCATTATAAATGTTTGTAAAAATACTGTCTTAAACCTTGGCAGCGGTCAGATGTGTGGACGCTAATTTGTGAAGCGATATTTCATAACAGTGGGTTTTAAATCAGTAACTCTCATATGTTGGCGAAATAACTTGATGATTGATCACACAGGAGGGCTTGGTGCGTAAACTGTTACACTGGGCGGAGACGAGTGAAGACCCACTGCGGTCCTACGCCATCGGAGTGCTGGCTGGTGCCATGGAAATACACGATGTCGCAGCTAACTTCAAGGATGTCAACAGTGGCCATAAGCTGGTGAGCTGTCTGTCTTGTGTGTCCAAGCCACCCCAAAAATACATCCTTTGATTCCAGTAACTCTATATGTTATTGCTACCTACCCTAAATTTAGCAAGTTTTTTCGCCAATTTGATGCATGCACTGTTAAACAAGTACTGGTAGCTCGGCAAGATGCATGCTAGGTAACAGCTATGTAAAATTATTTTCAGAAATATCTAAAGATTCGCCTACCCAATGCTGTACTTTTCACAAATGTTACCATTAACGCAGTAACATTTCTTTATGCCCTGAGTTGCCCCATACATTTTACCTGTACAACAGACTACAGAATTTACCTCTTTGTTTCAAGGGCTTGTTTTGGGGCCATTGGGCTGAAATTCTGTCTCATTCGAAATGGTGCAAATTTTCCAGAATATCTTAAAAAATATCTTCAAAAAACTGTTTGATGATATCTTTTAGGGAAATAATTTGAAGAAAAAGGAAAGAGTAAACAAGTGGTGATTTCATTGACACTAACAGAGCCGATACAACAGTGATTGGTCTGTCTCCTTAATACTGTTAGAAAATCAACTGCAAGGAAAAACTTCTTGCACGATTTGGGTTTGCACCCAAGTGGAATCGTGACCACGACAATTTGTACAGAACCTGTCCAGGTGCCTGTGATATGACGTCATTACAGCGTTGTCTTTATATTTAAGGTTTCTCTGATGTTGAGGCGGCTACATGACCTTAAGGCTCAGATGGAGCAGGAGAACATGGAACAGACTGGTAAATCAGACGATAACCAAAGATTCTTCTCCATGTTTGATGCACACAAATCAGACCGCACCCCCGACAAAACGGACAGAGGTAGTACAAGTGGCAAAAAGACTGGCAGTCCTGGGAAATCTGTATGTGATACGCCTAATACCTCCGATAGCCATTGTAGTGGTGGCTTAGCTAGTACGCCAGTCAGTAGTGATAGACGAGACTTAAATACTCTATTGAAATTCGTGGATTCTAGCACGCCAGTCAAACACTCTAGCGACAGTAGCTGTGGTGAGCAAGATTTAGATATACCAGTGAAACCCTCTGATATTAGTAAACAAGTCAAATCTTCCAATGACAATAGTTGTGGTCAACAAGATTTAAATATACCAGTGAGACCGACTGGTTCCTGTTCGCCAGTGAAACCTCCTAGTAGCAGTATTCAAACACAACAAGACGATTTAAAATTTGTGAAACCAAATTGTCAAAGTACTGAAAAATATTGTGTCAAAGAAAGCAGCAGCCCAGAAAAGATTTCCACAACGGAACCACAGGATGGTAGAGACGGAAGTCCAGGAAAGGCTGGAAACAAACGGTCCTATCGTCAGATGGCCATGAAGAGGGCTCTGTCTCCTAGCTACTACAGTGAGGAAATTTACAGATTTAAACGCTCAAGAACACGGGAGGATTCTGTTGGTCAGTGTCGAATATTGTCCTGCTCAGTTAGTAGTACTGTTGTATGTATTGAAAAAGCTTCTCATGTGAGTCGAATTTACTCTTCGGTAAATATCTCATAGATTTTGAAAAAAAGGCCTTTTAAGATGTTTGCCCTTGTTTCCTTCAACATGTATCCAAACCTGTGTTTGAATTAAATCTTCTGTTTTGAAATTTCCAATACTGTAAGTATCTGAATGATTTGACAGAAAAAAATTGACCTTGTGTTGAAATCAGCATCCTGAGCTTCTCAAGGGTGAAATCAATGAAAATGAGAGCGAAATATTGTTTTGAATATTTCCTGCCATATGAAGCTATTTAACAAATTTAGTAAACGTTTGTTTTTTTCTGAATCAAAATGTTTCAGAATCCAAAATGTAAACACTTTGCCTGGGAAAAAGTGCAACATTGGAATAGGTTAAGTATTATTAAGAATTAAGTTAAGATTAAAGGTTGAATACATTTTATGTACAACATTTATACTAGAAGAAGATGTTCATTGTAACAAAAACATTTTAAACTGTGATGCAGTACGTGTGCATTTTATGCAATTTGTAGGTGAATTCAGCAACAGTAGCTGGGCGGAGATGGAGCCATATGTGATTGGGACGTTCTGTCTGTCACCATTGTCTACAGCCATGAAGCAGAGACTGATCCTACAATACCTCACTCCCATGGGGGAGTACCAGGAGGTAGGTGAAAGGTCACTTTTATGACAGAGGTTACCAAGAGGTTTATTCAAGGTACAACATCGGGGGCAAAGGTTATCAAGATTTGGGTCAAATGTCATCTTGAGGTCATTGATTACCAGGAGTTGGGTTGAAAGTAAAAAATGAGAACAGAAGTTAACAGGATGAAGGTGAAAGGTCATGGTGGTAAAGGTTACTAGAAAGTCTAATAGGTCAAGGTCACCAAGGGGAGAGAGGGAGACCAATGTTGACAAGAAGTAGGGTCAAACACACTATGTGGAGCATATATGTATGCAAACAATAACAATTAGGTTCAAGCTCGCTATCTTGGTAGATATTAAGAGTGAAGCTTGAAGCAAAAATATCATTTGGGATTAGGGGAAATCTTGATAGGTTGAGGCAGATTTAACATGGTGGCATAAATTATCTGTAAATGAGTTAAAGGTCACAAAAGCGGCAAGAAAGTCTACCCAAATATTGGTTCACGGTGTAGAATGTAGGATGGAGGTCAAAATTTGGAGAACCAAATTGGACATTGAAGGTCCAAAGTATTGAAAGTTTATGTTAATTGAAAATTGTTGCAGCTGATATCTGCTGCATTTGAGCACAACGCTGTGGACCTGATTTTCTACTACATCGACTTGAAGTGCAACAAAGACATCAGGCTGGCTTTTGAAGCACTGAAGGTGAGAAAATGCTGCATCATGATTTGTATGTATTTTGTTACAGATGAGAAGGATCAACATTCACTAAACCATATCAATCAAACATCAAAGAGCTCTTTAACTCATCACCTGCACTCAGGAACATGGGCCCATGGGCAGTTGATCAATGTTTGTTACCTGTAAGTTCAAGATTAAAATAAACTGTGAATGACTGATACATCAGGGATTTCCTGTGTATTTTGGAAATTACCATCTTCCTTTACCAGGGGAAATGTGATGGAATCAAAGTGTCTAAATGATTGTCTCTTATTTATTTTAAGATGATAGGAAATTTCTTAAATTAGGTTTAAAAAGGGATCTTTAAGAAAGAAAAAAAAAGGCATAAGAAATTGAGTTAGATAAAATATTGAAATCAAATACCTAGGACAATAGTTAACTGCAAAGTTGAGACCTTTTTAACCAACTAACTAACAATTCCACTACAAACAGTACCTGGCCACACTGATGTGTCATAAGAAGTTTGCCATCGAGTTCCTCCAGATGAGTGGACTGCAGAGGCTGCTGAGTGTGTATCGTCCCTCCATCGCCGCCACAGGGGTGTCCCTGTGTGTATACTACCTCTCCTACTTCGAGGATGTCTTAGAAAGGGTGAGTATTAACCGAAGTCAAGTGTTACCTGGAGTAAAATATTACCTAGGGTCACATATTTGTTCAATACTGTCTGGATTGCCAAATTCTAAATGTTAAACTTGAGATGGAGGCTTAATGAAAAATATCTATGTTTCAGGTTTGCCTATTGCCAGAACATGTGTTGTCCCATCTTGTCAGGTAAGCAGTCTAGCTAATGTTGTACATGCATAACATAAAGAATTTAAGAACAAAGGCTAACTGTGATGCTAGTATGTGATATACATGTAGATAAGTTTAGAAGAATTGGTCATTTAGGTTTTGAAAAAAAATGTTATATTCTGGTTCAATATTGATGACATAAATACATATACATTTCCGTGTGTCTGAACCTGAGCACTATCACTTCTGAACCTAGGAACATTTCCCCTGCTATTAGTGTGTACTGATTGATGAAAACTCATTATGTATTATTAGAAACCCCGTCTTTTCTTTCAAACAAAACTTTGGTCCATATTGGGTCCCATATAAACTGGTTTCACTGATGCACTTTTCTTCAGAGTTCATGAACCTGGTTTATTTGACCTCTACCGAATGAGCTTAAGAGAAATTCTTCCTAGCCGAGCCGGCAGGAAACAGCTAGTATTTTACCAGGGTGACAAAAGTAAACAATAGTTAACAATGTTACTCACTCCCGTATTAAATGTTGCGCATTGCCTGTTTCAGCTACACATTATGGTTGATGGAGTGCTCCCATGATTCCAGCCGTTGCCATGCGGCCATGTTTTTTGGGATGGCCTTCCCATTCAGAGTGATATTAGACCTGTTTGACCAGAAGGATGGCCTGAGGCGACTCTTCAATGTGGTAAGTGACAAGGCATGGCCATTTCCTATTCAAGATTGGTGAAGGTAATTATTTGACATGGAGCAGCATTGGGCTAGGGAGACCAGGACCTAAAAGGGAGATAAATTAATTGTAGCACAAACAAAAGCCAAAAAACAAAAACAATGTTCATTAAAGTAAAAGGATATTGGCATGGAGCATTTCTAACCCCAAGGAATTCGATTTTGGTATGAATGAGGAAGGGAGGGGAGCTCTGGGGATTGAGGGATAGAAGTAAAAATAAGTCCAGAGAGGAGGGGGGGGGGGGGGGGGGGGGTAATATTGCAAAATTACTCCATAATACAAGTTTGTGCAAAGAAATGGCCTTAACAAACTTTGGGCAAAAGAAGTTAGAATCTAACAATGATCCATCAGTTGTGGAGTATATGGCATTAACCTGCCGTGCTTGCTTGTTTGTTTGGCCTTGATAACAGGTGATCCAAGCCCATTAGGCCTCTTGTTAAAGTCTTTTCAGATAGAGAGTGAATTTAACACAGTAAGGGGACTATTTGATTGACAGTGCATATATGTAGTTGTTGTGTGTTGTGTTAGGTGAGTACACTAGAGATATTGAATGTGGAAAATCGACGGGACAGCCTGAACGAGGACCAGATCTTTACGATGAGGCAGTCAGCGCGACATGTGTCCCTTGCCATGAAGAGATACTTCGAGGCACATCTGGCACACAAAGTTGATGAAATCCGACGCTCTCATGCCCGAAATGATGGCGGGTCACCGGTCCAGGAAAACCCCGCCTACAAGGTGTGTTACTGTATCTTGCTGAATTTTCATGTAAACTGTCACAATAAATCTATCATTATACAACATTTCTATATAGTGTCTCATCTGAGGAAATTACTTTTCTAGGAAATTACTATCAACTTACTCAATCGTGCTGAACACTGAAGATACAAAAGACATACACAACACAGTAGGAGAGTGTGGGCTTTAGGGCTGCAACGAGACATTAACGTGACAATAACATATGTATCACAATACTACGGTCACAATACGATACAGTGGTCACAACACATACAGTAACATTAGAAGCAAAGAAAAAAGATATAAAAGCTACAAATAGACTTGGTCCAAAGTGGACATGACTTTAAAATGTTTCATACAATTCACGTCTTTTCACATGTATGCTAAGCTGGAGCTTCACTCGCCATGTTAGAACGGATATGAGTAGACTAAATTCAGAAACAAGAAAATCTGTAAAATCTGGTAGGTGTATCATGACCTCCAAAAAAATATTGTGTATCGTAGCGTATTCCAAATACACGATATATCGTGTGGTTGCAGCCCCAGTGGGAACAGCCTTACTCAAGCACATATAAAAACTGAACAAATAGGCAAGTACTTGTGTGTACTGGGGAGTTTTCAGCCAGTGTAGTATTTGCCCTACAATGGTAAATTTCAAGTTTGACTAGTGCTAATTTCACCCTTAACAGTACTAATATTGGTAATCTGATAAATTTACTCTCATAATGGAGGGAGAATAGGACAAAAGTTGATCTCTGATCAACAGTTTCTATCAGTGAGTGCTCAGTTGGGATTGACAGGTGAGGCAGAGTTCTTACCTTAAAATCTATCGATCATGTTCATTTCAGGCCATTAAGTTGAGTCCGGAGCTTGTCCAGGAGAATGTGGAGCTGATGATGGAGCTGATGCCAGTACGCGTACACTGGGCTCCGGAAGCGACCTTTCACAAACTCGGCGGACTCCAGCTACTGTCACAGCTTATCGCCATGGCTCCCAGCTGGAACAACTACCCAGGAAAGTTAGTACACCATGTTTTTTTGCAATCAACATAGAAACATTCAGATTTTGCATACCAAGGTTTAAAGTTCCGGTACTTATTTAAGAACAGCCATCTGTTTACTGTCTTGTGTCTCTCCACATAAGCAACATGGGGTTTTGTTTTGATATTTTGTAAATATTGGAAAAGAAAAAAAGTTCTTCGTTAACAATACCAAATGTTAAATTGACTCTTAGAATCGTTAATCAATCAATTCTTTACCATTAACTTTTATCAAAGTCATGTATTGTATATAAAGGGTGTTATTGCTTTATTTCAATGTTACTTTATGGAATATTAATGCTTTTTAGCTAAGGCGTTAGCCGCCAGCTATTGGTATTACTTTAGTTAATGAGCTCAGATATTCATAAATGTCGATTTCACACAGACGGCCTCTAGCGGTAGTCACTGGTACTAAATTGAATCATATACCGGACCTACTGTCTTTATTATGCGTAACTTTGGACTCAAATGCACTTGAATGGCTTGTAAATATCATTACTTTTCTTTATAGAACATATGATCTTATCACAACGTCGTATTCTTATTGAAAATGCACCCTGTTTATCTCAATCGGGAACTGCTACTTGAATGTAGGTCATGCATGCTACACGCAACTTCCGGTAAAAATACTTCAGTTAATGAGCTCAGATATTCATAAACGAGACATAACGTCACCTTCTAGTAATACTAAACAAACTGCAAATAAAATCCATTACCACGGACTCAAGTTCACTCAAACGTCATTGGATATAATCTTATTCTTAGTTAGAACTAAGTATCCTTCTAAAACTTCGTATTTACTCTTGGAACTGTCGCTGGATTAACCCTTTACACGGAAATATTGTCCTGTGATTGGCTAAAATTGGTGACATTTACGTCCCTGTTTACAATTATATATTGCGTGGTCAGAGCTATGAAGCGGTCCTGTTCCAACTAACTGAGGATAATCAAAAGTGCTAATCAGTAATAATATATCTGATTCACGCTTCATATGATTATAATGTTATCAAAATATTGCATATTCGTTCATCGTTAAAATAACAAATCCTTACTAAAAACTCTAAAAAAAGAAACGACGGCCATGTTAGATCACGCGTGATGTTATCCGTTTCCTTATATGGCCTTCACGGCCAAATATAGTATTACTACTGATGCGGTCATGTTTACTACAATTTCCATATTTGGTCATGACACCCATATTTAGACGTCTGACCTATATCGGAAAGATTGAGGAAGTTTCCAACATGGCAGTCAATTAGGATTTCGCTTGCACTTGTTACGTAAACTTGATAATTTAACGAAATATAAGGCGGAGTATAACTTACAATTATGTAGGAGATCAACATAAAAAGTTCATATTACAAACCTATTAATGGATACGGATCCTGTCAATTAATTCTAAAATCGCCTCCGTGTGATTCACACCAGGCTTGCCTAACTAAAATGGGATCAACCGGCCGGGGCAGATGAGACCGGGAATCATGTTAGAACTAGCCACTGTCCTTCTCTAGTTCCATATTGGTATTCTAACCTGAAGGCTTTTTTTACCTTCGCAGTATTATCATTTTGTTCTATTTTCATCATAAGATATGCTATTGCATTTTTATATCGCCTTCTCGCTAATTACAGCTCAGCCAGAAACGAAAATATGCTCCGATAGGCCTACATTTTATATGTCTGTTGGTGTGATTTGTGTTTTTCGTTTATTGAAGTATTACCATATAACAGGACTCTTTTATTTCAATATACACAAAAACAACAACACCTTCGGAATGATTTCAGACATATACTGCGGGAAAACACGAGTGATCTCCCTTACATTTAGACATGCGCACATTTTACTTTCGTTTTGTGTAGGCCTAGACATCATTCGCAACGCGAAGCGGAAAAGACGAAAATGCAGGCGAGTGTTGACTTAATGTTAGGCATGTTGTTTAAGCAGCATTGACAATGAACAATATACATACACTTCTGCAACGTTTACCTACTACTGATTCATAAATAAGGCTATGTATCCCGATTTCGGTGACTTGTGGCCAAGCATGCGGCCGAAGCCGCAGAGAATGGCGCATGTTGTCAGCGGCGATGACAAAAAGGAAGGTGCTTCTACGGTATGTATAGCAGTTATTATGCAAAAACAAACATAATAAACGGACGTTTTACTCTAGTGAATTACAGCGTCACGAGGAACGTCTTTCTCCAGACGTGTTGCAAAATTTTCGAACTGCTTAGTTGCAAACTGATTTCACTTAAGCGTTGTTTGTGAGGATATTTGGCCTTACATTTCTTCTCATTCAGTTAAAAAAAA